TAGGAAATGAAAATCCCAGGTTTGAAAAAATTATGTCTAGAAGAACCTCCACTTAACTTTCAAAGACATTACAGAGATATTCTAATCTACTTCCTCCTTCCACTCCTCATCTATATCCTACATCAAATTAACCAGGAAAGATTTTACAAAATATTTATTGCTTGAATACTTAAAGAAGTATTAAAAAGTCTCCAAAAATATAACAAGACCCCAAGAGTAAAGATCTTTGCTATTTCCATAAAGTGTTTCTATTTCTTTTAGTAAAATCTCTAAACAGACAAGTTTAAGGGCAAAACTATGAATACCATTCTGGCCATCCATCATCTTAATTCTTCCCCTCAACAGCATGCTGCATGTGCACACAATAAATGAACTGAGATTCCAAAGAGCCTACTACACTTACAGTGTTTTGATGATTCACAAGGACACATGCATGAGACAAAAAGCCAGACAGTTAAGAGCGTGTTACAGTCTCATTTCACAAATGGTTAATGGCCATTCAAAATGTTGTTTATATAGTATTAAGATGAAGCAAGCAAGAATAATATATGACTAAAAAGCTGTTGAATTCTGAGATTCAAATCTATTTGGAAACAGCTGCAGGCTCAGCAACTTTCAATCAAATTTTAAATTGGCTATATAGCGTCACCAAACACTACTGGTGCAGGGGAGAAGAAGCCTGACAGTTTAAAGTGCAATGATTATAATAAGGAATGATTAACTGCAGAATGTTTAGCAGGTCTAGTAATAAAATGAGATGCCAGTTTTACAACCCGGGTTCTATTGTGAAACATTTCAAGCTAATGGAATAAGAAATAAGCCCATTTCCCCAAAAGTATGGTGACCTTAATGGAAGAACCTACAGATACAAGGAAGACTAGTGCATTTAGGCAATGATCAAACTTATGAACCCAATTGAAGACACTTAACTCGGTCAAATACATTAAGGAACTGTTACTGGCTAACTAAGAATTCTTACAGTGGCCATAACATCCATGATTTTTTTTTTAAAAACATCCATGATTTATAGAGCATATTATCAACATGTTTGATCAATCAAGAGGCAGGGGATAACTGTGAGATCTAATAACACGTTCCCAGAAAACAGAGTGAAAAGTGAGCAGTTAATAAGAGATTAACAAGATTTAGTGATTAGAAAATCCTTGCAAAATCAATGATTATTTTATAACTCAGTTTCCCCTTTTAAGAAAAATAAACTACTTAGTATCCAACTATAAGCATATACAGATATTTTCTTGCCCACTATTATGAACACAAGTTCATGAACTTTTACCAAGAGATTTCTGTGATTAGAGTTTGATCTGTAAGTAGGATCAAATGCCACTTGTAAGAATTTTTTCCCATCACTTCGTACCATTTCCTTCCCAGGTGTTTCCAAAGATTAGCACATAAGGTAAGTTTTCAGAAATTGATACAGGAATCACTACATGACTGCCTGAAATATTAGGAAACTGGCATCTTCTAAGTCTCAAAGACGAGTTAGCAGCATTGAAGACATGCAACCGACTTTGCCATTCCTACTTGAGATCCGAATACAGACAGCACCAGACATGAGGGGGGAGAGCGTCATGCAGTGCTCACAGAGAATCAGAGAGGCCACCACTACCTGGAGGGTCTGGACTTGCTGGCCTGAGGCGGATGCCACCTGGGCCTCAGTCTGCAACTGGACAGCAGTGACACCACCCTGCTGCTGAGAACAGGAACAGGAAAAGGAAGAGCTTGAGATGTATCAGGAAGGAAATGTATAGTTCAAGACATGAGATTACCTTACCTCTTCTGTGAGGGAGAGGAGTTTTCTTTCAAATGTTCTACCCTGCTTAGGACCTTCTGTATAGACAAACTATACAGATTCACTTATGGTGTGACTAGGGAGGTCTGGGGGATGTAGAGTGCACCAGATAACTCTTTCAGAGGAGTGATTATCAAAATGACAGTCTGCTTCCATGTGACTTAAAGCCTCCAAACACTATGTAGATGGTCAGCTATGAGTTAATACAACAGCTATTCTAGTTAGCGTTGCTATCATTAACCCAAATATAGTGAGGCTTCGAACTATGTGGTTTTTGTCTGCACGTGCTACAAAACTGCATTTCCCTGCTGCTAGCATTTTTCCCACCAGTGTTTTTATGTATTATATTGCGGTAATTCATATTTGTGAACCTTTATCAGTAACTTTTCTAAGAATGAAGAATTAAAGGAAATGAGAGCAATAAAAAGCTTCTAATCAGTTAACTAATAATGTAACCAATTATGCTGTAATTAAGTGTAGAAAAATTTTATAATTTGTCATACAAGAAATGTTACATTTTAATCATCTTAAAAGAATCACGTATTACTGTGATTGAAATTGATAAATTCAATTTTAGAATTAAAATTGATAATCACATCTCATTACCTTTGAGTCAGATCAAACCAAAATAGATCCTCCATTGCATTTCCCAGAAGGTGACGGGCCAACTTTGTCCCCCTACAGCTGCTGGTAGATACACACTACCAGAGAAGCAGTGGCTTTTGATTAAACGGCACAACTCCCCACAGACTCAGCCACTTTATAAACATTATTAATACTTAAAGACAACAAACTTTACTGAGCATTTGTGTGGCTGGTATGGGAGGAATTCCATGGGGATGGGAGTCTGACCCCATGAGTTACATTTGTAGAGTGGAAGTAACACTTGCATAACTCACAAAGATCAAAACAGCTTATAATTAATAAAAAAATTTATAATGTAGTCCTTTAGAAATAAGTTCTGATGCCATAGGGAGTTTCAATGTCAACTCAAAAGGGGGTTTTCTCTGGAGAAAGATGGACAATGTCTTCCCATGGAACTTATAGCCTCAGAAAACCTACAGGAGGGTCAGTCAGTTATGAGTAGGTCCTATGTGACGGCAGTAAGTTTTGTTGAGTCACTTCAGAAATAGACATTTGATCATTTGCTTACACAGTCATTCAAATACCTTTTATTTCCTCAATGAGTTCCCAAGGAAAATGTTTTCAGGATTTTAACATTCTTGGAGTTATAATAAAGAATTTCTAGGGCAGCTCTGGTGGCCTAGTGGCAAGGAACTGCAACTACAATCCCAGAGGCGCACTGTTCGAATCCACCAGATGCTCTGC